TGGCCCGACTGAGGGCTGCTGAGAGCAGGGGGCAGGGCTTGTTGCATGTGCCCGCCCCCTGGGCTCCTTACTGCCGGAGCTCCACTCCTGTGCGCTCCCACAGGAAATGACCCCTGTTGGATAGTAGTTATGGTTAGAACAGCAGCAGTGCATGCTGGAAGACTGAAATGTTCAGTTGTTGGCTTCTGAATATTGACATTTTAGTGCCAGATTTATGACCATTTATTTGTTTTATGTACAGAACAGAAGGGCATTGTTGGGGTTAGAAGGAAGTAACTGTTTAGTATTCCACTGTAAGAGTATATCCTATACTCTTACATGTGTACTTCAGGGTAATGCCTTCAGAACTGTTCATGTACTTTCTCTTTTAATACAATGTACATATGTCATGATCTGGCCTGTGCCAGTACGGCCTAGCCAGCCTAAGAGGCCTGGGTGGCAGTAGGAGGCAGCTAGGCCTACAACTCCCAGAAGGCATTGGGAGAGGCAGAGAGGATTCTAAAGAGACCATTGGAGTCGGTTGGGAAGACAGTCTGGGAGGAGACTGAGATAGTCTGGTGAGAGAAGGAATCTGAGCTGTTCACTGAGGGAAAAGGGTGTCTTTCGTCTCTCTCTGCGGCCTGATCTTAGTGAGAAGATAGGCTGGGCTGGGAAGAGGAAGATCCCTCCGTCCTTCGTCTCTGCTCTTAGTGAGAAGATAGGTTGGTCTGTGAGGAAAGGATCCCTCAGTGTGAGTGGTAGGCAGGCTGGGGGCCTGGAAGTAAAACAGTTAGGAGTAATAGAACTGTTGTTCAGGTAGCAGAGATTATTAGATTATTAGCCCAAATAAAAAAAATATTTAACTATTTTCACAGTTCAAGGGTTGCCAATGACTGCGAGATGCGTCCCAGATGCTACTGTCTGATCGCTCCCTTTAGATCCATCAGGTATTCGCATCTATGTCGAATTTAAAGGCCCATGTGATCGCAGCTGTAGTAATTTAATTTAAACACTTCTACCATATGATAGTATGTGCCATACAGTTTTGTTTTCTTCTTAATATTGCAGATAAGAAATTAGTTTATCTGAAGAAGTGAGCAATGACTCACGAAAGCTCATACCCTGCCACAGATTTTGTTAGTCTTTAAGGTGCTACTGGACTCTTGCTCTTTTTTACTGCTACAGACTAACACAGTTGCCCATCTTGATCTATCAGAGAGGTGGCTTACTATTGCCTGCCTCAGCATCCCAACTTTGGTATTACTTGGAGATCTCCCTTCCAAGTACTTGCCTAGGTCAACCTTGCTTAGCTTCCAAGACGATGAGATCAGGCTTGCCTCGGCTATCCAGGTCAGGGTGAAAGTGGGGGTTTCTCTTGATTATTTACTACTAGAAATAAGGTCCGTTGTGGAAATAAATACGAGCTCTAGAAAGAGGCTCTTGGAGAGTGCCAAGGCCTTGGGCACTCAGCATCAATGTGCTGTGGTGACCTCAGCAGGGTATAATGACACTGAGTCCACCATTTTCTCCAGAGGAACTGATCTCTGCTACCTGAAGAACAGTGGTAATTTTGAGTGATCTCCAGCCCTCACCTGGAGATTGGCAACAATGGTATCCCAGGAGGAAAAGTAGTCTTTCTCTGCAATGGGGACCAAAGCAGCTTACACCATTCTCTTCTCCCCCTTTTGACTTGCACAATAACCCTGTGAGATAGGTTAGGCTGAAAGTCTGTGACTGTTCCAAAATCACCCACTCAGCTTCTACAGCAGGGTGGAGGGTGAAGTCTATGGCATTATACCTGTCTGAGGTCCCACCCATCCTCAAACCTCACCCTATCCAGGTTCCATCCCTCAAATCTCCATGAATTTTCCACCTGGAGTTGACAACCCTATCTCCTTCCCAGCCAATTATCAACCTACCTTTATTTCCCCCTCACTGTTCAGTTTTCCATTCCCCCCCCACACACACACCTGCAGCCTCTTCCATGCTCTGAAGCCCTGACTGCCACAGAGTCCACCATTTTCCCCAGAGGAACTGATTTCTGCCATCTGGAGAGCAGTTGTAATTCTGAGTGATCTCCAGCCCTCACCTGGAGATTGGCAACAATGGTATCCCAGGAGGAAAAGTAGTCTTTCTCTGCAATGGGGACCAAAGCAGCTTACACCATTCTCTTCTCCCCCT